ATTGTACGGATAATATTTGGGCACTTTGCTAGAGTAGAGATCTCACTAACAGAATTGGAGGTGTTCGTTGCCAAGATATCAGAACTACTTGAAACATTCCATGGGGGCTACACCATGGTCCTTAGACCCTTAAACCAATTCCTAGGACATCCAAGACAAAAGGCAATTCATTTTGTCAATGTCATGCTGTGATTGGGATGAGTCTATGAGGGCTATTGCTTAATCCCCATTTCTGGAGGATTACCAACATCAGAAAGCGTGGGAATAAAGTATGATTTCGCAAGAGAACCGTGAAGGTGGAAAGAAAAGAGTGTAGCAGATCTTGGAGGAACGTGTCAAAAGACAAATATCTTCACAAACTCCTTGAAGTCCTAAAATAGACAAATTTTTTGTATTGGCCAGGGGTATCTTCTGTTATAACTTGATACACTTCTCTCCTCTTGCAATTTAGCTGATAATAGATCTCTAATTAAATCCATCTCAAATTGTCTAAACTTAGTTTCTATCATTAGGCATCACCAAGTCGAATGAAGGTAATTTCATATGTGATTAAGGTCATAAACAGTTCATCTGTAGTGTAGGGTCTATAAAGACAACCTTCATAATTGAGGATATCAGCCGAACAATTCAGACTTTCAGTGATGAATTATTATTTTCCACATTTGCAGGGAATACATGTCACATGAGTTAGACTCTCACTTAGAATCATGTCTTTCATGTCAGTATGACAATAAGTATAATTTTAAGTTCAACCTGTAGTCTGTACTGAGGCTGTAGTGTTGTCATGTCTCACGATTGTAATTCTTGACCTTATTTATTTTAGTGTAGACTCTACTCTAAGTTCTCTTAATTTTCTTAAACTGGTGACACTCACATGCTTCCAAGTAGAGTCTAGTAGAATAAATGTGTTGGCAACTACGATTGGTCTTTAAAAACACACAGAAAGTGAAACAGATTAACCCAGGCCCAAGAACATTTTACGTTGGGATAATTACCTGCAGCACTTCGCCTTCAGCACCGATCTTCGCGCCAGCCGGCGAGAAGTTCCCCGTCAAATGGTAAGTCTTGGTGGTGTATTCAGCATTCACCGCAGTTTCAAACAGCAATACATCAATACGGGCTTTACTCGCGTCATTCGTAAGGGCCGAATCTTTGGCCGAAATCCCCAAGAAAAACGCACATAACAGCCATATTCTACACGTCACCATGGTGCTCACATGTCTGGAAAATCTCCAGCCGAAATCCCGTGCAGAATCGGAGATAAAATAGCACAAATTCAGTCATTAATCGTCTTCCAAATATTCATCACATAACCAGTTTGTTCGAAACTCCGTGCACCCGCTAGTTGATCCGAAACGCTAATCCGTACGGGCTGGCGTAGAACGCTGGGTTGATGTGCATTGCATTTGTGTACAAAAAATAAATTCAGCGAGGAATTTTCACAGCGCTAGCTGGTTCACTCGTGTTGATAAGAGTCGTAGAGGCGGCTCGCTTTGATGTTTCACTGTGTCACGTGACACTTTGAGTCCCGCCTCCAACGAGATGGACCGCTCCATTTTATTACAGGGTTTTTAAAAACTTAATGATTTAGTTAATTAATAATTATTATCGAGAGAATCTAGATGGGACGATAAAAGTATATATTCACTGAAATAATGTCACCATGATCCCACATTTTACCATTTAATAGTATATTGATTCACAATCATTCTCTTTTATATGTTTGTGAATGATTAAAATGGGATCAACCTTGATTCTTTATTTAATATTCACCCCTTTGACTCTTCCAGTTCAGCTCAACTTCCAGTCATTCAGTTCTTCGATTATCGGGCAGATCAAAAGAACAAAAGAATTATATCATTTCGATCAAGAAACCGCAGTTAACAATCAATTGCCGTTGAAGAAGAAAAACGGCGAGACATTATATAAGCACTGCTGCTGACATAATAAGTGCTCGATCTTGCTGGCATTATCACATGGGCCTCTCGAAACCCTCCCCTTACCCTGCCCCCTCTATGGCACCGCCCCTACCCCAGACCTCATTGCATACTACCTGTTTGTTCTACGTGATCCAATAGACAGGTCAATGTTACAGATCTTGATGATTTTTCCACATTTTCATCTTGGTGAACTTCAGCCTTTTGAATAAAGGGCTCGATTGTACGTTGCTCAGATGCTTACTTTAGAGAGATCACACAGATGGGAACATATGGGAGGAAGATTAAACACTTTTTTGTGAACTGTCCTTAAAACATCTTTAAACAGGATGGGATTTTAGATAGATGTGAGAATAAAGGGAAAGATAAGTATATGAGTAGGTAGATAGACAGACATACAGATAAACATATAGATAGATAAACAGATCATAGATATAAATATAGAGAGAGATAGATGTAGAGATATATAGAGAGAGATCGATATATATAATTATAAAAATAGATAGACAGATATATAGATAGTTAGATAAATAGATTGAGAGATATAGAGAGAGAGATATATACATGTACATATTTTGTTGTTATAGATAGAGATATAGAGAGAGACCGATATATAATTACAAACATAGATATACAGATAGATAGATAGATAGATATTTTTAGATAGAGATATATATAGAGAGAGATATTATTACATAGATAGATAATATATAGATAGATATGGAAAGATAGATTGACTGGTAGATAGATTGACAGATAGATAATAGAGGACTAAAATAAATACACTGAAGTCAAGGGGGTTTAGTGTTTTCTGAAATAGGAGAGGCGAAATATTTAAACATTTACTTCTCCGCGAACTCTAAGCATACATGCGATTTACTTTCTGTTCGTAGTATTTTGTTTTATTAATCATAAGACTCATTGAATTGACCTTCTTACCGCCTTTCCGTTGTTTTTATTGTTTTCTATTATAGTTCTTTTCCTTCTTCACTTTTTCAATCACCGACTATCTAATTCGTCTTCTTCTTAGCTTCTTTCTCTGCTTTTTCTTCTTCCTTCATTGTTCTTCATTCTCCCCATATTCTTCCTCCTCACCCTCCTCTTCTTCTTCTCTTTCTTCTGCTTCTTCTTCTTCTATTTCTAATTTTTAATTCAAATTTCTTGATTTATTACCCGCCGTCGATATTTGGAAAACTATCAGTGCGCAAATAACCGCAACAAGCAATTCCCCAGGTAAAATTCCCCTAGTAAAATGATGCATCAAATTCTTAATTACCATGTGAATCAGGCATACCGGACATTCGGACATGCTTTTCTGTGTTTTTTTAACAGTAGAAATATATGGACAGATATTATGGTATATTTACTCAGAAGCATTTATCACAAACGAATCAGACACATCTAAATAGATCTACTATGGTAATGATAATATTTGGATCGTCGAAATATATCTGTATCTGAAGTAATCGTCATGGAATAATTTGTAAGAAGAGGAGTTTCCATATTAGGGCCTATGCATGGGCGTCATTTTATTGCTGTCAACTTACTGCCCTCCTTCCCATTAGGCCTACATTTCAAGTCCCCAAATATCACTTTTTTTGCAAACGAATTATATCTCCATGTTTCAACCATGCTCCATTCAATATCATTGCAAGTGCGATGCAACAGACTGAATCATGTATAACGGAAAAATATTATGCCTATAATATATCGCAACTGAGTGATATAGGTAAATGTTACGTGTAATTTCAAAGACACACACAATACATATTTGTGTATACTTTTTGTTGTTGTTGTTGTTTTAGTTTATAGGCGTTTGTCATTCAGAAGTGAATATTTACGCCTCTTCTCTTAGGATCTATGTTAATTGAAGATGCTAGTCTCCCGCTGAGGGATGTTTTTTTTTTTACATCTATTTTTAGCTGACAAAATGCTCATGATCTGTATATGTATTTCATATACTGAGCCTTTTCTACGTCTCTCTCTCTCTCTCTCTATCTCCTTTCGCCCTGTCGTATCCCCTGTATCCCTCCCTATCTATTTCCATTTCTCTTTTCTTTGTTATATCTTACCAAATTTATGGACAAGACCTATCTATAACTTCTCTAAACTGAAGAGGACAAATCTACCACAAGAGGGCGTGTTTGCAGTATTTAAATCTTGGATTGATTACCTTCTCAGTTTACATTTCGGAGAGGCGTTTTGCACTACCCGAATTAATTTGAAATCCAAAACGGTGTTCTTTAACTAAGCATTTGTGTAATTACTAATTGTGCTGTGTTCCGAACTGATTATCGATATTCATTCATATTCACTTGATTTGACAAAAAGAGCAAACCCTATAAAACTATTTCAAGAATATAATTTAAGCAAAATGTTTTTCAACAGTTAAGATTTGGTTTGACAAATAATAATAATAATAAGAATATCTATTTCTTATATGGCGCTTTTTCAGGAGGGCCCTATCAAAGCGCCTTACAGATATATATACTATTACCCCGGTCATCGGATTCAAGGCTTACCCGCACACAATGTATGCACATTCTCCACTCCCTAGGGAGCATTCCAGCCAGGCGTCATTTTTACAAGCGCACACTTGCTAATCTAAGCACATTAGCTTTCGCATCCTACCGGGTACCCCTTTAACACCTGGGTGGAGAGTGGCAAATGTAGATTAATGTCTTGCCAAAGGACATTAGCAAAGAGCAAACCCTTTAAAACTATTTCAAGAATATAATTTAAGCAAATCATATATGTATTTTTCAAGTTAGGAATTATTTTTTAGAAAGTAAATGTGTTCTTTCTTTTCTTTAACAAATCTTTTGGAAGTTATTTTAACACCTGGTATAAAGGATGTGTAGGAATTAGAAAGCAGAAAGCATAGATATGAGAAAAAATAAGTACACAACTTGGTGGAGAAGGAAAGACAGAACAATAACTACTCAAACACAAAAGAGAGTTCTAGTTGTTAAACACATAATTTGTAAACAAACAACACCACAAACACAACCACCAACACATGCACACAAATGAATGCGAATTGCAGATGTCACAATTTGTTTATTTTTCTTTCAAAAACATTTTATTAACATAGAGAATTAATACAGAAACAGACTGTATTTTGAGCCACAGTTTATCACCACATGTGATATTATACATGGTCTTGATGACATGCTTGTTTCATTTGGTAAGTAATAATCATCAACTTAGAAGGATAGCATACTACTAGTAAATGTAATTGGATGCTTGGTAAAGTGTGTAACAGAGAAGCATTTTGAAGAACAAATTTAAAAGAAAGATCTGAATTGAATTCTATGGTATAAATAAGTAAATAAACATATGATGGAAGATGCCTGAAAACACATCTTGCACCACAGTGAACCATTGCTAAAGTCAACCAATTTTACAACTTTTCTTCTTGTTTTTCCTCTGTAAGAATCAAAGATCAGCAGCACTTTGCTGTGAGTCGAATAGGTTGGTTGTCGCCCAGGATTTGCTTCGTGAGTGAGGGCTTTTGTCCTGAGATATTGATGCACATACCTTGTGGATCTGCAGGAACAACACCATTGTTCAAATTTGGTTACAAGTTCTGTTCACATATGGCCAAGGGCTTTATGCTTAGTCGTAACCAGTTTTATTACACACCAAAGATGTTAATGTGGATATAATGGATCAAGTATTAATCCTAGGATTAAATGGATTTTGTATTTATTCTAGGAATATTTGACCTCATTTGTGACTGTACATTGGGCAAAGAAACGGAACAACATGTGGAGAACTTTATCATCTCTACAAACAGAAAGAAAAGTTTGATTTTAAGGGAGATATATACACAGGATTTACATCTTAAAGACAAAGAGAGAAACAAAATATTAGCTCATAAAAGAAAAGACTTAAAGATACAACCAGAACTTCAGATTAAATTTGCCGGATCGTTTCAAGCTTTGTATAAAATATATGTTGCTTATACTTTCATCTTTCTCTCAATACAACCCTTTTAAATACAGCAGAAAAGAAGACATTTGTGGTTTACATGTGTGCATTAATTATTGTACTTAAAATATGCATTTTCTGATTTTTTTTTTCTTCTCTCTTCGATGGCAGCAAAATAAGGTGACCAAAAAGGCACTGAGCTTTCCTAATACATTCTAGATATACACGTAATATGAAATAAAACAGTCCGATTTATCTTTCTTCAGACAGCCCGTATGAAATACGTATCATAAACTGTTACTGTACACTACATTTACAGTCCATTATTGATTGCTAGTACTTCAATCAAAATGCCATTGAATTACTTTCTTGAGGAATGATTTTACAATTGCCAAAATGTTAAAATAGATGTAGGAATCTTTAGATAAGAACTAGTTCATTGGGGTTCAAGACCAAGTACAACAAAGATATATACCTGTATGTGAAATGTCAGTAGAGTTTTCAGGTATCAAGTTACTACGTCCATGATACAATGTCTGAATATTCTATTGAATATACAACATATTGGGGAGCACTTATGACCTGTTAATTCGTATTGCTCTGAAGTGGTTCAAAACATGATCTTGCAGTCATTTAATCTCCGGCAACGGAATGACGTCAAATTAATTAAGTACTACTGTGAAATTGTTCTTCGAAACCTTGCAAGTGCTAAGCACATTTGTCCTCAATTAACTCAACGACTTTCAGACAAAGGCACCTTCTCTTATAGGCAACACTACAGCTGTTCATATATATAATGAACGATATAAAGTGTCACATGCGTCACATTTCTGTATCTTATAACACAGAGATCAGTGAATACGTGCAGGACCTTTGCTGTGTACAGTTGCCATTTAACTTACAAAAAATTCAGCAGCTTTTTTTGCGCCATCATTTTTAACCAGCCTTACGGTTATAATAACGGTATGCTTGATATAGTAACAGCCATTATTTTAGTGACTGTAAGGCGTTAGTGTTTTAAAAAATCATGTAATTGGGAGCAAGAACATTTATCAAACTTGAGGTTCTGTTAAACTGGTAGGACTAGTTGATGATTTTGTCAGAATCATATTGGAGAAGTGGAAAATTAATAATGCAAAGTTCATAGAGGACCTCACACCCATTATATTCTCTTCCTTTTACAATGAGATTCTGAATGTTACGCCAGTACATGTAGTGCTCCAAATAAATACATCCTTTTATTAGACCTTTTATTGCTTTGATCATTGTTCTAACCATTTCAATTCAGAAAACGTTCAAATCAGAAAACTGTCGAATAAGAAAGATCTGGCAACAAACATTTGATACACAACATTACAAGGACATCAAAAAGTAAAAGAATGCTGACAAGGTAATTGGTTAGTTTTCAACGAAGTCAAAGATATTTTGGGGTTTTAAAATGTAGACGGTTTTCTTCCAGCAATTTCGATTGTGGACATATCTCTACACTGTCATGATATCTATACTGTAGTGGTTGGTGGAATACTATGCCGCCCTCTGTTGGTCCGCTAAGCAGAGGCCATGAGTCTGATATCTTTGATCAGTTTGTTGGTGTAATCCCGCACGTTAATGGGTTGAGCGCTGACGCAGGTGCACTTCAGACGGGCTTCCTCCTATAAACACAGTGAAATAAAGTGAAATGTGTTAATAGCGAGAACTGTATAGAAAGACCACCTGTCTATAAAGACCATATACAGTCAAACCTGCTTTCGAGACCACCTGTATAGAAAGACCACATTTTTTGTTTCCCTAGAAATTTGTTTCTCATTAAAACCTGTACAAAGGAACCTGTACATAAAAACCATCTGTCTATAAAGACCACTTTACTTGTCTCCATTGAGCTGAGCGGTCTTTATATACAGGTTTCACTGTAAATTTTTCCCTGGAATTTAAACTTGTATCACAGGAAACCTGTGCATAAACACCACCCATCTATACAGATAACTTTTCTGTTCTCCCTTGAGTGGTCTTTGTACACAGGTTCCAGTGTAATACCAGAAACAATGTAATATATTCAGGATGTTCAATTCAGAAAACATCAGATCATGAGAAACACATACAATTTATGGCACAATACTCTGACCACAAACATCTAGACTTTCATCATGTTTATAACCCATCTTACTGATAAATGTGCATGCCAACTGCACACTAAAACATTTTGGAAGTAATCTATCTCATTTGTAGGTTTTTCTGTTTTCTAATCATCCTTAAAATGCCCAAGGAGTACAACTAAATTAAGAATCTGAATATGACGCAATCTGATCCCTTTGAGTTTGATATAAGAATAAAATTTCCCACATAGCAACAAAATGCAGATTCATTTCTTTTCCTAATATCAATGGTAACATTTTCTTGTAATAAATAATGGGTGTGGGGCTATAGAACAAGCTATTTCACATACATATATTCTATATTATCAACATATCTAAATAAATTACATCATTAAAGCCCCTCTAAAGTGTTGGGAGTCTACAATATTTCATGGCAAACATTCACCTAAATTGTATAAGGATGTGAAAGAGGATGTCATTTAAGACATACTTCTGCAAAGAATACCCCAAAAATGTGATACAAGAATACAATTTGGGTTTTGTGTTGTACACAGAAAACCTAATGTTTTTATTTTTCATCAATATCTGACTTCTAACACATTTTTGGGGGGAAATCCTTGCAGAAATGTGTCTCAAATGACATCCTCTTCACATTATGATACAATTTAGTAAAGTTAAATTTTGCAACCAATTTTGTTGGGGCTCCCAACACCTTAGAGGGGCTTTAACAACAAAATTTGACATGATAGTAGATTATTTTTCTTACATTATAAGTTTCCATCTTGATCCTCATCCTGAACATGTAATCAATGAAGCAAGCATCTTGGAAGACCTGATTAAATTCCTTTTCTGTCGCCTCACCCTGCAAAATAAACATCACAAGAGATAAAAAGACATGTCATTAATGTAAAAATAATGATACTAATAATATATATATATACATTAATAAAGCACAGACACTATGTAAAAAATGTGTATTTAGGTTTCCTCTAAAAAGACTTAAAAATTATGATTTTCTAATTTCTAACAACAAATAAATGACACAAGCCTCCCTGAAGAATATATCATTATCTGGGGAAATGCTCCAGTGATATTTTGGATAGCATAGGAAATTGATGCAGCGCTGATGTCACAGGAGCCTGTAATGTTCGGTAGCATAAACAGCAAATAGCATGTGCTAGATCCTACCACGTCCAACACTTCTTTTCAATTAAGGATTATTAAGCAAGATTGATGGAAGGGATTAATTGGATATCTTTTGTTACAGCATGTACTATAGACCACTGATTATTGATACTCAGGTTCCTAATCCATTGCTCCTATGCAAAGATGAATAGAGGTCTGACAATAGTCATTGTAAAAACACAGTTATGGTGATCTGACAATAATCATTATAAGGACATGGGTGTGATGATTGCACCATTCTTATACAAACAAAACATTGTTCATATATTGTACATCCTTCTAAGCCATCGGATTAACCATGATAACGTTGCTCCAACATAAAGAGTACAAGTTTTTAAAGATTAAGCTTCTCACGTCTGTTTAGACCCAGTTTCTCACATTTTTAAGTACTGGTAGGTCTTCTACAAGCAGAGTTTTTATGATTTTCAATACAACTTGGACAAAATTGTAATTTTCTTCTAGGATATCTCTGATTGCCTGAAGAGATTTGATTTCACACAATGGTGACATGTTTTGTACTTTAAGTGTAATATTGTGAGACAATTACAACTAACAAGTATCATGATTCCAATAACTGTGGAGTTGCTCTATTCCTGTTGATCAGTTAATGATAAGTTCATCATCACTAAGTGAATCATGAACAGCGATTCTTGAGATACATCACATCAACAGGTTTGAAGCAATAACCACCACAGAGAATATTTACAGCCTTGCCACGATCTGAAGCTTTTTCTTTTTACTGTTTTTCTGTTTTTTTTAAAGTTTTTTTTTAGAGGTCTTGCCTTTGCTATTTGCCTCTGATATTTCATCACCTTTTTTCAAAAGGATATCTGTACTCTCAAGAGCAGATATTTGGTTCTGTTCCGGCTTTATGCCATGCGAGTGTGTACATATTTGTTGATCTATTCTGGTGATCGGTATACTTGAACATGACTTAAATTCCAGAGCTGCATTCCTCAGTTCCTATCACCCTTGTTTCTCACCTGATCTTTGAGACTACCCAGTTCCTGTGCTGATTTTAAAAGGAGCTGTTCTGCTGTCTCCTGAAAGCAGGTCGCCCATTGGTTGTCTGTGGAGTCTGCAACATTAGCCTGTACAAGAAATCAACCAATCAAAATTTATGATACAGATAAAGCAAAGAATCAGGAAAATTGTGTACTTTGTTTTATCTATTTTTTAATTTCTGATATTTATCTCGCATAGCAAATTCTCACTAATAAGTGGAAGTCTGCCAGGAGGCCATATGTGGTATCAATCATATGAATCAAATGAAACTTTAAAGCACGTCTGCACTAGTTTGGTCAGGGGGATTAGACCTCCCTGCAAGGTCACTGATAGGTGGTTATCTCATAGTGCTGTAAGTCAGATGCCATGTTCGTGTTCGGTTCGGTTCAGGAGAGTTCGGCAAAAGGACACTGTGTATTTGTTTCTGTATTGAATGTGTTATCTTGATTTTTTAAAATACTTATTCAGGTACTTTCCAAACTGGAATGCGCCCATGTAAGGTAAAGGTAAGGCAAAGAATATGACACAGATAATGTTAATATCTGTGATATAGAAACTAGAAATTTTATTGAATAGAGATAGGAAGGAAACTACTAAACAATGGAAAACAGAAGTTAAATTAGATAATGGCCAGGGACCTAAATTATTTTTCTCCGATAAATTCATAGCACTTTCAAATTATGAAGATCTTGTTGAATATTCACTACGACAGAAGAAATTGTATGAATATACTTTGGGAGATTACCAAACATTAAAATATAAGATAACATTTTGACTAAATAACTTAAAGCCCCTCTGAAGTGTTGAGAGCCCAAAATTTGATGGCAAAATTTTACTTAAATTGTATCATAATAAGAAAGAGGATGTCATTTAAGACATACCGGTACTTTTACAAAGGTCATCCCCCCCCCCCCCAACAAAAAAAAACCAAAAAAAAATGTGTTTTAAGACAAATATTGATAAAGAATACATAATTTGGGTTTTCTGTCGTGCGCAAATAAACCTTTGTATTCCTTCATTAATATTAAAATTACATCCTCTTTCACATTATGATACAATTTAAGTGAAATTTTCCCAACAGTTTAGAGGGGCTTTAAGCCTATTCCTTGAAACTCTAAGTGGTATTCATGATGCATACTATTAATATTCATGGAGATTATCACATCGTTTCAATGAAACGGATCATGCTAAAATGAGCAAGTTTTTTTTTGCAGTGAATTATTTTAGCCTGCAAATGATTTTGAGGACATGAGATCCAATGTACTTACAGAAAGCAGGAGTCTATACTTGAAATTTTCATAGTCTTTGGAACACTTCTCACATCTGTACGACCCATCTCCGTTCTCAGAGACCTTCTTGTTACACTCAGCCGACGGACAGGCCTACGTTAATACAAACAGACAGTAATGATTACTCAAACAATGATGACCAGGGGGGTGTTTCACAAATATCCTAAGTTGAACTTATCTTTAAGCTGGACTTAACAATTATGGAAAGCCATTAGTATCTTTGTCATATTTTGTAAAAGTTATTTAAAAGGCATAAAATGTTGATTCAAATCATTCATATTTTCTATTATCAAAGAGATTTCATGTTCTTGATGTGGAATTTATGAAAAGTCTAAAATACTTCAATTTTTGCTTTTGAATATATTTTATTTTAAGGCTACAAATGGCTCTCCATAATTTCTAAGTCCAACTTAGAGTTAAGTTCGACTTGGATCTTTGTGAAATACCCCTCCGATTTGATTAGCAAAAGAACTATTACTAATTTATTCTTGATGAGAGTTCTCACAATTTCTTTTGGTATGTCTTCATTTGGAGAATACCCTATAAGTTTGGAGGAATTCTGAACATTTAGAAAAAATGTTACAAACATGATGTAATTTTTTGTAAAGTTGATCAAACTAACAATGAAGCAAGCAAATGTCTATTGTTCTTAAGCACAAGTTCTTAAATATTGAGAGACATTCACCCCTTGCATCTATTCAAACTTAAAACTTAATCAAAAGTCAAACTACACTTTCACGTGACCACTGATGGAATGTTTATTTACTCAATTTACAATTTTTTGCTTATGTAATTCTCGATAATTTTCAAGAACCACATGAAACCATGTGCCTGAAAGCACAATTTGAATGTTACAACTTATTATAATCTGTGACCTCTACATATTCCGTAAAAAAGCTGATTTGTAATATGACTTACCATGTACATGCAGTTCTCCTTCCGGACAAACAGTATGGTGCCCTTCACTGTGAAATAATCAGGCTGAGGAAATAGACAGAATTGACAAAGAAAATTGAGGCTACTGGTATGACATGCAAGTGTGTTTTGTAACAATGAAATTCATATACCTGTACTTAAATTTCAGTGAAAATGGAAAGTCTGTCCTTATCAGGGACCCATTTCATAAAGCCTTTTTTCAAATGACAAATGACTAAAGTCAGTGACAAATCTGCTGATTACCAATCAGAAGTCATTTGTCACTGATCACAAGTTTTGTGAAACGCCCCCCAGAAATAAAGACAAATCTGAAAATTAAATGTCTGTCCACTATTAATAAATACATTATTAAAATGAACTTATATGAGTGTATATGTGTGTTCTATGAGTAATTTTGTTTTCATAAGGACTTCATAAAAGTAATTTTGTACAGTCATCTGGCCTCGGACTGGATTAAAATGTAAACCACTCAGTCTTCAGTATCATCAGGTCCTGGTCTTACCTTTCACCCTGGCCTAGGTGCATGTGCATTGTGGAATGTCATCTAGTTTGTTTGATCCTTCACCTCATGATATGAACAGGTATATTGTAGTATTATACACTTATCTGTCCCTGGACTGGACTAGAGTGTCTACCATGTGGACCTATACCATTAGGTCCAGGTTTTACCTTCTCACACTGGCCTAAGTTCTGAATAAGAATGTACACACATGATCATATACTATTTGGACCAGGCCTTACCTTTTCACTCTGACTTAAGGTCCTGGATCAAAAAGCAAACCATCTGGTCCTACATCATTAGGTCCTGGTCTTACCTTTTCACCCTGGCCTAGGTTCTGTGCATGAACATTGTGAAATGTCATGCAGTTTGTGTTTGATCCTCCACCTCTTGATACAAGCATGGCCCTTGTAATATTATACACTTATCTGTTCTCGGACTGGACTAGAGCATATACCTATGTCATTAGGTCCTGGTCTTACCTTTTCACCTTGGCCTAGGTTCTGTGCATGTACATCATGGAATGTCATCCAGTTTGTGTTAGCTCCTCCTCCGCCTCCTGATCCCTGTCTAGTGGAGATGGACTGGGAATCCTGGGAGTGACCCTCGCTGTCAAACCTACATAGGGGTCAAGAGGTCAAACAAAATTACAGTATCAAGATAAAAAATTCTCAGAACCTTTTTTTTCTTTTTACTTCCAATACTTTTAGCCATATATGTATTTAGTTCCATACATTACAAACTACATCAATGAATTAAGTATATCTATTGATTATATCAAGCCCTTGTAGAACTTGGACTAGACCAATATAAAGAAAAATTATAGTTTTAATGCCAATTTTTTTCCATTTTATATAAATTTGGGCAACATAAGGGACAGTAAATGAGCAAATACCTTGGACTTTCCCATTCAGAAAGTTATAAGAATACCGTGATGACCAGACGCAAATTCTTTTTTAACAAACGTAATCAAACACAGAGCTCTCATTGTAAGATGTCTATCTTCATGTACTTTCTACCCTCTAATAAGTTTAGATTCTAAGATAAAATTGTCTCATATAGTTATGGAGGCAGACATTTTGTTTGCTTGATCAGGACTCAACAACAAATTGCACAGAGAGAGGGAGGGAGAAAGAGAGAGAAAGAGAGAGAGGAAGAGAGGAAGAGAGGGAAAGAGAGAGAAGTAGGGAGAGGGAAGAGATGATGATGATTCACAGCAATAATATGGCGCCATAAATCTGTTTAAAAAACATTCAAAGGCACGAGCTCCTCCAATAAGAGAAAGAGAGAGAGAAAGAGAGAGAGAAAGGGAGAGGAGGGGGGGGGGGGGAGAAGAGAGAGAAAGAGAGAGAGAGAGAGAGAGAGAGAGAGAGAGGAAAAGGGAGAACCTAGCAACTATCCTACCATCCTTTGAGATGATGTGCTTTGGGGATGTCAGGATTGACCTGGAAAATACTATTCTGCAGGACCGACAGAGATCTTCCTCCGAAGCCAGACAGACGAGCTCCCTTCACAGCGATCACGGGGTTTCCTGAACCATCAAAGTCCTCAGCCTGAAATAGGAACAGGAGGCGTCAGGATATAAACTTTGCTGCATTATGGCAGAAGTACGATTCTTATCTTACACCCACACACAGGCCTATGGGTGATCCCATCAAGTTTCACAAAGTCATGTTATAAATCTTTGCAAAATCTCACATATGGGACTTGCAGAAGAGTTCGCATTCATCAAAAGTTCTGTTTGTACTGGATAATCAAATGAAAGTCTTGCATGTGTAAAATTCAACAAAGATAGCCCTTCCTTTATTCACAGAAATGCTTATTCTGACTCACTAATGAGAACATGAAACAAAAATATTTCTATTGTATTGGGGGGGGGGGGGGAGGGAATTATTCCATTTGAATAAGCTCATCTAATCAATTTTGCCATGTGAATAGAGATCAGCTGAGAAAATACACACAATTCTCCACTTTTCAATAGTGGCTTGCCTCTTTTTTGTTATCCACGGTTACAGTTAAAGTGCACAATAGGCAGACTTCGGCAGAATTTGATGCAAGGGGTTCATTTGCAAATCATGTCCTAACAACTCGCATCTTTGCTTTATCTCTTAAAAATAGATAAAATATTAACATGTGAGGTATTTTCTTAAATTTAGAGCATCATGTGCCCATAAACTCCTATTCGTGTGCGGTTCTGAAGTAAGGTTTTCGTTGGGTGGGACCTTACCTCCTTGCCCCACAGGGTCAGAGAAACCTCCTTCTGAGAATCATCGACCAGCTGTAATGACCTCTTGTTGACCTCTCGATTAGACGACTTGATGGTCACTGCTGTCAGGTCACTCGTACTCTTACACACTCCAATCACATCTGAGCATCAAACATTGAACAGAAATAGAGAGGAGATCAGGGTGTGATAACAAATACAGTTATGAAATAAATCCTTCACACCCTTACCGGGTTTTGTAGTTTTTCAAGTATGTGAAAAATTTGATTTGTCCCAATTTTATGTTTCTTGAGAAGCTTACATCTTAAAGTATTCAATAAACACCCTTGTTCAACCAATCCGGCTTTCAATCTTGAGTTACGACAACACAAAAAACATGAATTTCCCTACGTTTCAAAAGTTTTCTTGTGATGGTTTTTTCTACTACACTTGGCATATTGAGTGAGACAATTATGACATGCACATACATGCCTACACAGGTGTGGTTGTAGGAGCCCTGAAGAGTTCCCTTCTATGTACAATCTCTATGGGAGTGAACTAATTGGAGCTCCATGAGATGTCAGACTGACCTATCAGGAAAATAACTACTAGAGAAAAAACTTCCACTCTCAACCAGCTATGAGCTTACCTATCATGGAATCCTCGGGCGTGTCCTCAAGATGAGAGATGCTCTTGAAGTCAAACTGAACAGCTGGAATGGACACATCTTCCTCCACACAGGGCTCTACCATCGTATCATTGTTGAAGGTAAGCTCATAGTCATTATTGATGGAGGTGTACTGACGATTGGCGGGCTTCAGGGTGCCTCGAGATACGAAGTAGACCTGGATGGGTGTAAGGATAGATAGATAGTTAGAGACATATCCATGAAATGAAATTTTACTAGATTTTACTAAATTTTACTATATTATTAGGTAAATGACCAAGTGGTCTACATGAAGAGAAGCAATCACAGGAATGTTATGTCATTTACAAACTTTAAGAATGTGGGGACAAAATGAAAATCGATTGATATCAATAAACTGTCTTCAACAGCATAAATAACCTATGATGCATTAAATCATGTGCACCATCTCGGAAAAGGCATGTATTCTGATTCAGTTAAAAAACATCCTTATCATCACCATCATCATCATCACCATCACCGTCATCATCATAATCATCGTCGTCATCACCACCATCATCACCATCTTCATCATCGTCATCATCATCACCATCTTCAACACCATCTTCATCATCCTCATCATTTTCATCATAATCACCATCATAATAATCATCATCGTCATCACTATCACCATCATTTTCATCACCACTACCACCATCACCACTATCATCACTACTATCATCACCACCATCATCATCATCGTCATCATAACTATTATGACCACAATCATCATCATTACCTTTCCAATCTCTATCATCTCATAGTATTTATCCACCATGTCCTTGAAGGCAGTACAGCGGATCTCACCGGACTGATCTAGGAGATCCATGGAGAAGAGCTTACCCTCACCACGGGCATTGCTCCAGGTACGGATGGCCGTCTTGTTGGTCACACGAGCCTTGATGGTCCATCTGAGAGGCGACAGAAAGAGAGTGAGGGAGGGAGATAGGGAGGGAGGGAGGGAGGAAGAGACAGAGAGGAGAGAGAGACAGAGACAGAGAAACAAATAGAGATAGAGAGAGTGACAGAGAGAGAAAGAGACAGAGATAGAAAGATTTGTTCAGTATTTTTTATCACATGGTCGATACCAATTCCCATCTATCACGGTGTGTAGACCATGAAAATATTCTAAAAAATAACAAGAGCTTCCCCACTATTATCACAGGCAGCCTTCACTTCAATATGTGCTAAAGTAGATATTTGGCCAAGATTTACGCATGAGCATTGTTTCACACAACCATCTCAAGTACAAGTTCGATCGCATCCCAAAATATAGTGAAACCTGTCTATAAAGACCACCCAAGGGAGACAAGAAAAGTGGTCTTTATAGGTAGGTGGTCTTTATGTACAGGTTCCTTTAGTACATGTTTCAAAGAGAGTGACAGAGAGAGAAAGAGACAGAGATAGAAAGATTTGTTCAGTATTTTTTATCACATGGTCGATACCAATTCCCATCTATCACGGTGTGTAGACCATGAAAATATTCTAAACTAGATGGAATTCGACTGCGTGCAGTCGAAAATGATGCCTCCGTTAAAGAGCAATTTTACAAACCAAAACAGAAAAAAAAAATTGAATTCACGTTCAATGGTAATCCATTGACAGGTTCTCAGAATATTGTGATTACAAGCAATTTCTCATATACATATATGACCCTTTGATCTTTGACCTCATGACCATAAAATCTACTCAGTTCATTGGCTCTGCAAGATGTTCTGAGTTAAATAGTAATCCATCTGTCAGTTCTAATGAGAATGCTTTCACAAGCTATTTTTGCATACATAATGGGCCCATGACCTTTGACCTTTGACCTTATGAACCAAGAATCTACTCAGTTCATCGGCTCTGCAAGTAACAAACATGACCTAATTTTGGCATGAATCCATCAATCGGTTCTTGAGATAACGCGATCACAAGCTGTTTTTGCATTCATAATGTGCGCTGTGGCCTTTGACCTTTGACCTACGTGCTCCAAAATCTAATCAGATCGTCTTCCTATGGTGATACACACTATCACTAAGTTTGAAGTTTAAATCTCCAGTGGTTCTTGAGATATCATGATAACAATCTCAATGTATGGAATTTCATAAGTTGACCTCTGTGACCCTTGACCTTTGACATACGTGCTCCAAAATCTAATCAGATTGTTTTCCTATAGTGATACACACTATCACTAAGTTTGAAGTTTAAATCTCCAGTGGTTCTTGAGATATCATGATAACAATCTCAATGTATGGAATTTCATAAGTTGACCTCTGTGACCCTTGACCTTTGACATACGTGCTCCAAAATCTAATCAGATCGTCTTCCTATGGTGATACATACTATCCTTAAGTTTGAAGTTTAAATCTCAAATGGTTCTTGAGATATCGCGCTAACAAACTCAATACAAGGAATTTCATAAGTTGACCTCTGTGACCTGTGACCTTTGACCTACGTACTCCAAAATCTAATCAGATCGTCTTCCTATGGTGATAAATACTATTCCCGAGTCTTAAGTTTAAATCTTAAATGGTTCTTGAGATATTGTGATAACGGTCAAACGGGACGGACGGACGGACGGACGGACGTACGGACGGACAACCCGAAAACATGATGCCTCCGGCACCACCTTCGGTGGCGGAGGCATAAAAATAACAAGAGCTTCCCCACTATTATCACAGGCAGCCTTCACTTCAATATGTGCTAAAGTAGATATTTGGCCAAGATTTACGCATGAGCATTGTTTCACACAACCATCTCAAGTACAAGTTCGATCGTATCCCAAAATATAGTGAAACCTGTCTATAAAGACCACCCAAGGGAGACAAGAAAAGTGGTCTTTATAGGTAGGTGGTCTTTATGTACAGGTTCCTTTAGTACATGTTTCAAAGGGAAACCATTTTCTAATGTAAACAAAAAATGTGGTCTTTGTAGACACATGGTCTTTCTGCACAGGTAGCCGCTAAAGCAAGTTTGACTCTACCTGTATAAAAGTTAACTCACGTTTCAATGGGATATCAACGAACTTACACTCATCGTGGTTTTGTGAAACAAGGTCTTGGATAAGATCTTACCTATTTTGGTATGGGGTTAGACTGGAGATGGGCTGGACCTTCTTGGGTGACGTGGTACTACCACCCATGGCCGAGTTTGATTGACCGTAGAATGTCCCTTGTTTGTTGGGCGTTGCGCTAGCCGGGGCTGCTGGGAAGGTACAAGGGAAAATATATTAGTGACAATAAACATGGGCGAGAATGTTGTGGAAAAGATGGCAAAGTCTGATAAAAAAACAATGATTTTGATCTGTTAACATGTTGCTAATTTAAGGATTTTAAAGCATATTTTCCTTTTTTTTTCTTCTTTCCTTTGGTATCAATTTTTTCTTTTTCTGGCACCAATTAGTGAAAGAAAATGTTATATTATTGTTTGTTAACAATTCATGGTATTAAGGAGCAAAATAGGGCCAAGAAAGAGGTCTGTATCTATTAGTATTGCATAGTGCATTAAATCAATTAAATAAAAGAGAGACTTGGACTGCTTACGATGGTACAAGCTGTGAAGTTGGGTGACATTTTATGTACTTATACGGACAACAAAATCCTTATCTTGAGAGAAAGTGAATGAAAAACTAGTTAGCTAGATCACTGTAGTTACTAACAAGTACATGTGACATCATATCGGTTAACTGCTTCACAATAGTAGCCACCTCGTAGTGAAGTATAGCACAGAAAAATGAAATTAACAAGAAATTGTTATACTTGATAAAATAATCACACAAGTCTAATTTTTCTTAAAAGGGCTTTAATTGTTGCCTTCCTTCATTTTATCAAGGATATTAATGTTAATTTCTCCTCAATGTGGACCTGTATTGTCTATTTGCATGTCTGAGGTATTCCCAACATATCACCTACTACCTACCTCCTGTACCATAGCTGGTGGGTCTCGCAGTCTGAGGTGGATCATGGCTCACTGTACTATCCGGTCTAGACTGCTGCTGTGCTGCTCAATAGAAAAAAATATAACATTCCAATGAATACTTATACTGAGCTTTCAATAATGGAGCTTTAAAATGTGGTGTAAACAACAAAAGAAATACTGGTAAAAACATTTAAAAAGGAGTAAGAAACAGATTTTTGTGCAATATATTACATAAAACTTGTATCTTTTATACAAAATAGAGAAGAAAAACAGCAACCAGTAAACGTATGTCACAGACACATTACAATGAGTAAAAATATGGCGGGGTAACCTCGCTAGTCATAAGGACAACTATTCATAAAGCGGACCCCAATGTAACATATCACTTTTCAAAAAGCTGCAAAAATGTAATAATTTTCAAACTTCAATAAAATTGAATTTGCAAACTCAAGCATTCACACTTATTCAAAGGGTACTTGTGACTAGAAAGTAAAAATAAAATCACTAGAGGAATAATGAAGAGGAGAAGGAAATATAGCATGAGGGGAGAGAACACACCTGTAAGCATAATTGTCAGAAATAGACAAACACCAAATAACAACAAAAAAGGCAAGGAAAGGACTAATATATGAAGACTAAGAACATTAATCTTCAAATATAAAGTAGACAAAGATTTGTCACAAACCTGGCGCAGGTCCTCCTCCCTGCCCCGGAGCTCTCATTGGTGTAGGGTCACCGATTGACACACCAATCTCACTTCCCTTCTTCACAATATCCAGGTCTAAAACGACAATGACTCGCCTGAAATCAAAAGAAAGAAGTATTTCATAAGTACGGATGACTAAAAGAGAAGGTCGAGTTCCGAGAAGAGGGGGAAAATAATTTGTGAGCGTTATCATGATCGTATTATGCAAGAGTGGAAGAACATCAGACAAAAAATGTTCCCTGAAAAGCATGGCTCTTCAAATGCTTTGATATTCTAAATGTGGCATGTAACATCATAAAAATCAGGACAGATTTTTATGCCACACGTTCGTGTAGTCCCATCTTTCTGTGTACAGTGCTTGTAACTTTACCAATGAGCCATCGTGCCTCACAACACATTCTTGCTATCATCCCTCCATACTTTCTTTTCTTTTCTCCTTCCCTCCCTCCCTCCCTGTATACAGGCTTTCTTTAATTAAAGATATATAGTTATGGTTAGGGTCTCTATCTCTCTCTTCTCTGTACATACCTGTCGTTGGCTATTGGATTACAGGAGTAGTTCTTGAGTTTCATGGCGGCTTTGACATCTAGCTCTCCAGTGGAAACCATCTCGTTGAGTTGTGTAGCCAACATAGCTACGGAAAATAAGAAGTAATATGGAAAGTTTCTCCCATCTTTCTGTTCCCGATATGAAGTACAATAAAATATTATGTATTTTTGTAATTCTGCTAGCATAATCCTTCGAGTTAAACAGTTAATGAGTTTCTGTCCCTTTACGCAGGAAAAAAAAGTGGCTTATAAAGTGCCATCAATTGTGACCTTTCACCTTTAACAACCCGTCAATACATTAATCATCATTGGTCTTCGTCCATGTGCAGCAATGCGACCAAGTTTACAAGCTTAGATCGAAATCAAAATTCAGTTTCAGCTCTAGCCTTTTCCATTATTCATCTTGACTTTAGGCCATACAGAGAGCTACCCTGTTCCCATAGTAAAGAACCTTTACCTGTGCATGTGTGTTCTCCATCTGAAAGCATAAGCCTGTAACGATCCACAGCTTTGCCACTGGCGGCAGCATTCATCTTCTTACATGCCTGCACAATAGGGAAAAGAACACTCATCAGATTTATAGCCCACTACATACAGAATGTTATATAAGGGCAAGTATAAAGTACGTGGTCATTGTTCCATAAAGTTGAATGGCTTCCAGGGAGTATTTTCAATTTGTAAAGAAATTTTTGCTTGCACCCACCATTAAATAAACGCGATCTTGTAATAAATGCCAGCTCAGAAAAAAGTCTTGGAATCAGCAGGATTTGAACCTGCCATCTACACCCCGCCGTGCAGCGACTATGACCACCAGGCCATCACTGGTCCATGGCACAGTCACAATGAACTAGAAACAAATACCTCAGCTCTCCTAATTCTGACTTATTAATATTCAGGACAATAGGCTAGCATTCAATAAGTTACACAGAATAAGTAGATATTGGCAAAAATTAATATTGCTTGTGCAATTTGCTCATTTAATCTGATCCAAGCTCTAGAGGGGTATCAACTTGAATGAATCATTGTTTCATACTACAATTTTTTTTATTTTGTTGGTAAGGTATGGGGCAAAACACTAAATCTCCAATGTCACAAACTTGATCTTATTCTTAGATCAATGTCATGTAATCACTTTTACTTACCAAAAGCTGTAACACAGGGCAACTGACATTTTCTCCTCTGAAAATGGCCTGGAAGTAAATAGAAGTAAAGAAAGATTAATCACAACTTATGGTTTAACAGTAGGCTATCAGTCTATGATTACTTTCAAATAGATGAAGTGTCTTTCTTTATTTCATAACTTTTCACGAGTAAAGCTTTAAAAAACAGGTCATCAATTTTGAAAGTAATCTTTAACCATATACTGTATAAAGAAATCACATGAAATAAAATAGCTATCAAATGATTAGAGATCGCCAGCAGTATATTTGCGATTTGGCGAACGTGTAATTTGATTGCGTTTAACGCACCAAGCCAGGGGAAAAATTACTCGAGGGCTTGGGGCGAATTAGCCCCCAAAATGCCAAGAAGAGCCCCCGAAAGTCATAAAAGAGCCCCCAAAAGTGCATAGAGTTCAATGCAAAACAAAATAAAGAGTGTTATTTTCATGCAAGCTAGCTTGAAAGTAGCCCCGAAATTTGTTAAGTATTTTTTTCCCTGCATCAAGCATTGTGCTCCATAGGCAATAGGGGCAAACATATCGGCCCGAATTCACAAAGCTAGGTTTGAGCTCAGACCAAGGTTTGAGCTCAAACCTCCTTTTGTTTCGCCAAACCTCCTTTTGTTCTTTACAAACCAGGTTTGTAAAAAACGCGTAAAACGCGTCATATGACGTACGAAAACCAAGGTTTGTCGACAAACCTCCTTTGTGAATTCGGGCCATCATCATCAAGATACAAAGTGGCGATCCTGTTGCAACTTACAGGCATTTCGTCAAGTAGTAGAAATAATCTACACATTTTTTTAACGATTAGAATCCTGTTTATGTTGATTGGAAAGAAAGAAATTGATGACTTGAAAAGTTGCAATGTCCAATGATGACTTCTGAATGAAACGAACAGCTGTCAATGAAAAGCTTCCATCAACTAATTTTTTTTTTCTGAGGCATTGACTAGATTTATCAGTGGCGGATCCAGGGGGGGGGGCCCGGGGGGCCTGGGCCCCCCCCCCTTGAGAAAAAATTATGTAAAATCACGTGATTTTTACCTTTTTTGGGGGTTGGGCCCCCCCCCTGGCGCTCAAGAGGGGGGTGCAAATTGAAATTTTTTTGAGGATCCAAAAAAAAAAAAATGTGCTCTCTACCCCCCCCCCCCCCCCCCCCCCCCCACTGAGCGAATTTTTGGCCGGCGCGTTTTTCAAATTTTCGGGAGCAAAAAAAAAAAAAAAAAAAAATACCCCCCCCCCCCCCCACTGAACGAATTTTTGGCCGGTGCGATTTTCAAATTTTCGGGAGCAAAAAAAAATAAAGTTGGGCCCCCTCCCCTAAGAAATCCTGGATCCGCGCCTGAGATTTATCATCGTCAGTTTAACCATCAACTAGAACGCTAGAACTACATGTAGATCTAGATCTAGGCGCTATAATAATAGACTTAATTGCACCATTGACGTTCAAGCAAAACAGTGCCATGTTTAATTTGCATTAAATTGGATGTCTAATGTAGTCCATGTAGAACTAGCCTAGATCTAGACTAAATTTTTTACCAAGATTACAAAGAAAAGACATGGTGATCCAACTAAACACGGTGCATGGTGTGTTGTTCAAACAAATTTCTGTACCCTAATTTTGGGGGAAAAAAGCTTAATTATTTTTGGCCCAATATTTAAAGATAGATCTAGGGACAACACTACGGTGCTGCAGTAGAGTCTGGTGCAGGTAATTAGTCTAGAGCCTAAGGTCTATGGCTTGCACCCGTAATCCAGCTAACAATGGATGTTACAAACTGATTCAGCCGAGGACGCAGGTTCGAAACTGAGTCACGTCTTTCGGATGGTGACTGATGTTACTTAATTAAAGGCCAGCCCCCAGACGTAAATTATCATATCTGATAACAAGTCTGTAAAAACCCAATAAGGGTCTAGTCCACACACACACATTTTCTGGAGTCTCCACAAAATTGTAACTCACACTCATACTCACACTCATAGTCATAGCTTCTGTAATCAGTCTTTATTTTACTTTAAGTTTAATAAAATAGGGTCTACTGTCACTGACTGAGTGACTGACTTACCGCAATGGCCCCTCTGGAAAGCAAATTATTCATTTTGACTAATTGTTAGACTAGTAGTAGTACAAATTGCTCTTTATTTGACACCAGCAACTTCCAGAATCTCACTATTCTCAGCTTAGAATCAGGCAACACGTACGTCCAATGAAAAGTTCGATTGCAGCAGTCTAAATCTACATGTAGAAGTCTACTTGAATTGTGCGTGTTGCAACATGAATAGTATACAGTGTGTTACGCTACTGTACTTCGGCGCCGCCGTGTTTTCCCTCAACTTCGAATCTCTCCCGCCAAGTGGCGCGAACGTACAGCTGAAAGGCCCGTGGAATGCAGTTGGTATATGGCCACGCAGTACAACAGAGTGTGGCCATCATCACTGACCTCTACCGCCAGTGTAGGGGTAGTCTACTCGAATTATCAGATCGGCCAAGGTGGTCAAAATGTATTTTTTTTTAATGTATTATATTTTCTAACTTATAAAACCTTCTAAATGGTTATGTGCAAACATAGAGTATAAGTATGTTGATCAGGCTCGTACACAGGGGGGTGGGGGGGGGGGGGGTTAAACCTCCCCCCTTTTGGTAATTTTTTGTGTGTAAACCCCCCCCCCCCTAAAATTCTCTTTTATTAAAAAAATAATAAAATAAATAAAAAAAATTATTCCCATGGTTGACCTAAAAAAGCTGACCTTACCCATCCAAAATGTCAAATTTTCAAATTTCGAGACCAAAAAAAAAAAAAAATGTGTCCTCTTAGCAATGAATTGACTCCATATCACATTCCAAACATTCAATTGTTGAAAAGGTTTTTAAAAGCCAGTAATATTTCATACAAAAGTTACACATTATTTTTTTTCATCAACCTTCAACAGCGAGATGCTGAATAAATCTTCACAGAAAGCCTCTATAGCAAACGCGCTTCGGTTTGATCCGTCCTATAAAAAGTAGCGATTGATCCGAATCAATCCCAAGTTTGCAGCCCCTATCTTTTATGTAAATAGGTTTAATTGATATCAATCGCACAAGAAGGTTTCGATAAATCACCATTTTTACTAAGATAGGGTCCGCAACCAGCGCAAAATTGGTGACGTAACAACTAACAATATGAATCTTACACGTGCACATCAACTTTTAGCCAATCATGGCTCAGTATTTCAGTACAAGGCGCAAAATAGCATATCGATGACGAAACAATAGGAAACTTGCGGATGGAGGCGTTTGTTTACAAACAAACAAAAATCTCTGCAAGCAGCTCATTTGTTTGTATAAAGTTTTCCAATTTGGGTGCTAAAATAATTACCTCTTCTACCGATCATGTCTCGGATAATGTCTGTCAGTAGTTTCGCCAGGACACGAGTAATACTGCGAAGAAGGCGAAAATATTAACCTGCAGTAGTTCAGGTATAGGGTAGGGAAGAATAATGCCTAATGCATAGGCCTAACTCTAATCACATTGTGATATAGAGTACACAGTGGCATATCTTTCTTCTATATTTACTTGTAAATTATTCTGCCTTAATTGACACAATGACATATATATAGAGAGAGAGATAGAGGGAGAGAGAGAGAGAGAGAGAGAGCGCGGGAGAGGGGTTAAATAATAAAGAGACAGGAATTAAAAACGGAAGAAAAAGAGAGAGAGGGAGAGAGAGAGAGATAGAGAGAGAGAGAGAGAAAGAGAGAGAGAGAGAGAGAGAGGGGAGAGAGAGAGAGAGAGAGAGAAGGGGATACTCGAGAAAAAAAAGGGAAATAGAAAGAAGAACATATGAAATATAATACATATGACATTTCCAGACATTCCAAAAACTGATTTTCATTCATTTAAATTCTTCTTTTGCAGATTCATGCTCTATTGAAGACGGCCTGGTAGGTTTCAGAGTTGCTGAAAAGGTTCTTGTAAATGGTAAACTTTTAATTTTGCTTACACTTAGTAAGCTTTCAGTGCATATAATATTAAACCTTCGCTTTATATGCAGGGAAAGGCGTAATGCGATGAAATTTATTGTTAATTTTTTTTCTTACAATAATTTCAGAGTAGTCTCATTTGTATGTTTATAATATACTTGAAATCTAGAACTTCTTATTACTAGTAATGTTACCTTTCTCGCTGGAGATGATTTTTTTTTTTTAAACACGCGTTTAGAAAAGAAGAAACATCCACCAACTAAATCATTATTGTCATATCACTGTTTTGTCCTTATTATGATCAACTTCTGGGGTGGATGTGGAAGTACACAGAAAAACAAATTACAAAAAATCCAGAATAGAGCAGCTCGAATAATTAATAGGTCCTCTTGGTATCCTCATCAGATGAAAATTTAACAAGACTAAATTGGAATACACTTGACAATAATAGAACAAAGAATGTAGCAATTATGATGTATAAGATTGTCTCAAAACAAGCTCCTGAGTATTTAGTAGAAAGGTTTATATTTGCAGACCATATATACAATACATGTTCAAGTCTGTATAATGTGAAAACAATAAGACCAAAGACTGAGACTATGAAAAGATCTTTTAAATATAGAGGGGCCTTAACATGGAATAACTTGCCACATGAAGTACAAGGTGCTAAATCGTTAAATATTTTTTAAGGCAAAGCTGACGTAATACGAAATAAGTGTGTGGGGAGGGGCTAACTTCTTAGTTTAAGAGAGCTTTGTTGTTGTTTGTTTTTAAGGTTTTATAGTTGTATACAATTTTTATCTCATAATTTCAACCTATTTATCATTGTTATTTATGTTATATTACTCCTACGCAATATGTTTTAAATGTCTATTCGTGTGCAATATGATCTTTGCAATACGTTATCAGTTTTTGTCTCTTTAAAAACAAAAACAATTATATATGTAGTATTTAACTGATCCATATTCATAATGCTCTTAAGTATTTATTATTATTCCATACTTCATTTTACTTCTACATTCTACATTATGTGTGTTTTCTTTTGTTTATTGTTTTAAAGTTTGATTATTTAATATTTAACATGAATACATAATATGTTTTTAACTTATTTATAATCTTGTTAAACTTCTTTTTGTTTTTACTTTATATATATAAATATGCAAACAGATTATGATGATCATATATGTAACTTATTTAATTGTTTATCTTTTGGGTCTACCAATATAGTTCTAATTAAGTAAAGTGTTTTTAGCTTATTTCCTATTATTGTCGTGTTATGGTTGTGAATCTGTCAGTGTTATATTACTTTTGTTTATATGTCATGATTATGTTGTTTTTTATCGACACGGCCCTGATTGAAACCAGTCTGCGAACTGTTTCGGGCTTTTACCGTGTATAAATAAAATAAACTCAAAACTCAAACTCTTTTTCAGTCTAATGTCGCAGATGAGTCAGTGAACCTTCAAAATATGCCCGCTTTCATGACCGAAGAGGAGGATGATGATGAGGATGATAGTGAGGAGGAGACAGATGAGGAGGAAGACAGCGACGACGACGAGGCGGAGGATGACGATGAGAGCGAGACAGAGGATGATGAGAAGAAGACAGAGGAGGAAGAAGAGAAATAAGACACTATGAACATGACTGACAAAGAAAGCGGACAAAATATACAGTTCCTCAGGTAGACAAAGGAACATCCCTTCACTGCTATTATGTAAAAAGGTGAATATGCATGTGACACCTGTTCTACACATTTTTACATAATAGCAGTGAAGGGATGTTCCTTTGTCTACCTGAGGAACTGTATATTTTGTCCGCTTTCTTTGTCAGTCATTTTCATAGTGAGAGGAGGAGAAGGATCATGACGAGACAGAGGAGGAGGAGAAAGATGACGACGACGATGACGAGGATGAGGATGACGAGGATGAGGATGACGAGGAGAGGGAGACAGATGAAGAGGATGATGAGGAGGAGGATGATGATAAGGATGACGATGATGAGGAGGAGACAGAGGGTGAGGAGGACGAGGAAGACGACGAGGAAGAGGATGAGGAGGAGAGTGAGACAGAGGAGGAGGAAACAGAGGAGGAGAGTACAGAGGACTCGGAGAGAGAGGCGGAGAGAGAGAAGAGTATGATGAGGAGGAGATGAAGACATACAGAGGAGGAGGAATTAGTCCAGAAGAACGACGAGAAGGAGGGAATGAAGAGAAAAAATAGAAGAAGAAACGGAAGAGGGAAAATATTTTTTTTAAAGAAAAGGAAGAGGAAGAAGACGCGGAGGAGGAGGAGGAGGAGGAAGAAGAAGATGAAGAAGTGGAGGGAGATCGAGAAGAAAGTCATAAAGGATGATGAGGATATAAAAAATAACCAAAACGAAGAACCATTATCATCCTGAAGGGAAGTACTAAAATCGAAAAGCATCCTGAAAATCATGTATAAGTTTTTTCAGTAAAATAAAATAATAAATGTAAATAAAAAAGGGGGGAATGCTGGAATATACTATAGATAATTATGCACAGAGAGCAAGAGGAGTGAACAAAAAGTGTTGTTTTCGAAAGTACGATCCACAAATAAAACATGAATGAAACAAGAAATTATTTTTTTCTTCATATTACGTATTCTTGTATTTTAGCACTGGGTTGCTGGTCAGGGCGAGTATGAGGGAATTTAGAGAGAGAGAGAGAGAGAGAGAGAGAGAGAGAGAGAGAGAGAGAGAGAGAGAGAGAGAGGGAGAGAGGGGGAGAGAGAGATGGGGAGGAGAAGACAAGGAAATTGAAGAAAGAAAGAAAGAGGAACGAATAGAGAGAGACGGTGAGTGAGAGAGCGAGAGACTCGACAGAGAAGGGAAGCCAAGAAAAGATAGAGAAAAGAAGAAGAAGAAAAAGAAGAAGAAGAAGAAGGAGAGAGAGAGAGAGAGAGAGAGAGAGAGAGAGAGAGAGAGAGTGTCTTACGTAATGATGCCAGAAATATTGCCACGAGACAATATCAATGGAATTACAAATATAATATAGTACGGTTTGTTGGTCTACTAACCACATTTTTATATGGTTTCTTCATTATTTTTACGTGGTGCTATATTGATGTTGTTGCTGTAAAGCCTTGAGATAACAATTCTATAAAATATGTCACTTTAAAAGCCGCTCTCCGATCGAAATACATACTTTGTTACCATGAACCTTAATGGTTAGAAATTATTTCTTTATGATTGGATACTCCCAGGTGCTTTCTAATGGAATAATTTATTTCAATTTAAATTGTACGTTAGTCTTTACCGAATAGTCAGAATCCTTAGGCTCATATTTTGTTTGCAAATACTTGTCTGAATGCAGCTTTATTTTTATCCATAATTATATAGAATCCACTGAATACCATTTTCGTAATGCACTCAAATTTAATG